GAGAGAGAAATTTGTTCACCCAAAGGGATGACAACTGTTATGTTTGTGACTTGCCAAACTCTGAGAGAAGAGCTAGGCTCTGCACGTGTGATGCAAGTCATTGGTTCAGGCATTCTAAGGAACCTGGATCCTACAAACTCTTTCTTTTATGTGTCTCCCTGAACGACAAGCGTAGCCAAGTCTTGAAGTTGCTGAGATGGTTGAGTCACTAATTTGGACTAAATTGCCCCCCAGACCTCTGCAGTATTTGATTTATAACTCACAACTCTTTAAGAATCAAATTCCTCCCAATCTGACAGTAAGTATAAAAATTCAGCTAAAGCATAGCTAAGTAGAGGAATGGTAGATGGAGAAGACATGTCAACTAAGAGATACTGTCTTCTGGAAGTAAAAAAAAAAAAAATCTATTAACATGGAGACCAGTGAACCCTTGGAGGTGGTCTTAAGGAAGGGGGGTGATGAAACTGAAGTCCTAGAGGAGAGTAATTTCAGAGGCTCAGCAGGCAGAAGAAGTGAGAGGGAGGAAGTAGGAGACTCAGGACAGAGACGGCCCATTGCCAAGAAGGCTGTGTATGTCCTTTTTGATATCACAACAAACACTCTTCAGTTTCTCCAAAAGATGAGTTTTTAGTACACACAAGTTTTTTAAAATCATCTTGATCACAACCTCGTTGTACAAAAGCCCAGTTAACTTCCTTCCACCTGGCTGACGCCATCTTTCCCCATCCAGAGTTGCACGGAGGTACCTTGCACTCTCCCTGCGCGAGTGAAATGGACTCTCAAAGACAAATGATATTTAATCTTCACTTTCTCTAGCACTTCACAAGTTTGAGGTTTTTCTACTAGAATGATTTAATATAGTTTTAAAATATCCTCCTTTTAGCTATTTGTGTCCTTTTTGGAGGTGTTAAACATGGAAGCAATTATCCTCTTCATGACAGGATTTTTTTTTCTTGGCTCAGTAAAGCTTTGTGCTTTGTGACACCTGATGCGTAGGTAAGGAATTGGGCTTATTTTCTATTAATTTGCAGTAAGTTTCTTTCCCTTAGAGAGCTAAGGGGTAGGATGTATGCTTCTTTGAGAGATAAACCACAATCTGTTAAGTGTGTAGGAGGACACTAAAAGCTAGCAAAGATTATGTTCTAGCAAAGTAAAATGTGAAAAATCTTCTTTTGCATTACTCTATAACCATGGCAAAAGAAAAAGAAAAAAAAAAGCTGATTAAGTGGTTTCATGACAAGTAACCTAGAAAAGGACAGTCCTTTTGGTTGAATTAATTCTGTTAGTATAAATTGGAATTGTTTTTAGCCTGTGTGAGGCAACATATTTTTAGTTGATGGGTCCATGAATTTGAAAGGCTCAGGTTCGTACCAGTGTTCAGAAAACTGGGGCACCGCCAACAGAGAAGATAAAATAAGCTCTTTGATTTCATCCAGAGTGTCTACTGTGTGCCAAGGAAGAAAAATTTTTCACATTAAAAGAGAATAGGGTTTTTTTGTTGTTGTTGTTTCTTCATAGAATGATGAGTGCACCAGAGTAGATGATTTGTGTTCTGCCAAAACTGTGGCAATGGTTAATTGTCTTTGGGAACATAAAACATTTTATTCTATGTGAAACTGAGGCCAGAACACATTAGAAAATTCAACTTTTTTCTTCCTTTTCAGATTCTAGCAAGAAAATAGATCATTTAAAATTTGCCTAGCAGAACTGACACTCCTCAGAGATCAATAAATCTCATCGCAGGGTTGGAGGTAGATAGAGATGGCATGTCAGAAGTAGTTTTCAGAACCCAATGAGCCTTTGTGAAACATGGGAAACATTCACAGGTAGTTAGAGTTGATAAGAAAAAGTCAATTATTGCAAAACCATGATAACTTTTAGAAAGCATTTTCTGTGGGGCAGCCATTCTAATAAGTACTTTACAGATATTATCTCAGACATCTATCAATTATAGGAAATAGCTATGGTGATCATCTCCATTTTCAAGATGAGAAACTCAAGTTAGAGACGGATTAAATATTTTCTGAGGGGAATAGTGCTCATAAATAGGGGAGGAGAGGCACAGAAAGCACCAAGATTTGAAGTCAGGAAATCTTGAGTCCCAAGGCCTCAACTCAACTACTATGCAACAACATTGCATCCGGGAATCCTTTTATGCCTAAGACCATTGGAGGAGCCAATGTCTTATTGTCTTACTTGGATGTTGGTGATAAAGGCCAGCTGTATAGGAAAAGATAAAATAGGTAAAATTTGCCTTTGGTTCTCATTGACTTTCTCTTTATCCCCACTCAAGGATTCCCACTGCTTGCTCTAACCTCATTCCTTATTGCAAACCTACATTTCATTTCTACAGGATTTTTTTTTTTTTTAGAAGGGATAACTGTTGGAAGTAGGTTATATTAGTTTATGGGCTTAGGAAGTCACTCCTTTATGGGGTCTTTGTATTTCAGTAGGAAATTTTAAGGAATAAAAAGTTTTCCAGACACAGGAGCCATTTCTAAAAGTGATGCTTCAGTTTCTGTTTCAGATCAATGGAGATGGTATTTTTCAGGCTGGGGATTCTGTCTGAGGCTCTTAAAGAACATTGTGGAAGTGAAGGTGGCAGCTTTCTTGTCTCCTGGAAAGGCCTCTTACTGTAAAAAAAATCAGGAGAGTTAAAGGAAGGGGAAAACATCGTGCAGATGGGGAAGGGGATCCACAAAGGAGGAAATAATGAAGTGCTGAGTTCAAATTCCACCCCTGCCAGTTTCTAGCCATGTGACTATGGGCAAATGACTGAAAGTCTCCCATATAAAAATGCTTAATAGAATTGCGAGGATTAAGTAAAATAAAGACTGAAAAAGGCAGCAACTAAACGCTTGCCGATAGTCCGGATGTTCTCAGCTAATGGTGATGTCCTCCGCCTCCCCTGCCATGCTGTGTATTATAGTTTGGTGGGTGTGATCAGGAAGGGAAATGGTGAAGATTGATGGAAGAGAACTGTCTAGAAAAAAAAGAGACTAAGCTGTGAAATATTTATTCTTTGATGTGCATCAATCTTGTTGCATGCATTCACTCATTCATTCAATAGATACTTATTGATTGCTTCTACAATCCTCTTGGATTTTAAACTTAGACTCACTTGGATCAGCTCTACACAGCATTTAGAAATGCTGATTTTGCATAACTATGTCTTCATACATCTAAAATCTGTTACATCAAGCCAACTTAAAGCATGCAGTCATTGCTAGTGCCTTTCTCTTGATCCTTCTTCAGATGTAGTTTCCAAAGAGAACTTCAGAATGTTAAACAAATATCATTTCAGTTTTGCCTCATTATCCTGGAACACTCCAACCAGAAGACCTTATATAATCAGCTGATCTACCACTAGCCCCTGGCCATTGCTATCTTTGGTAGATGTACATGTGTGGCTGGGAAAATATCAAAATATAGTCATTTTTTACCTACTTTTAAACTCCACAGCTCCTGAGTTAACCACAGCAACTTGAGAAGATGTAAACTATTGGGTTATTAAGAGCTGCCCTGGATTTTAATTGAGGATAGAATTATATTCTTGTCCTTCAACTAAAACCATGTACAACATAGTGATGCCTGATGCCTCTGGCCCTTGAGTTATACACCAAACAAGCCAAGAAAGAGAGATATTAATCAGGCCTAACTTCAAGACTGAAAAGAGATGACCTTAGTCATCCTGTCATGGCACCATGCTACTTGGGGTTTGTACCCAAGTGCGCCCTGAACATCCAGCCTCACCAGCCTGCACAAATAAGTCTATGGTGATGTTAATTCCTGAATTTTTCTGGCCTTGTATTTCTCTCATTACAAAACTGCTGGATCTCTCCAGTCAAACTCTCCCACCTCCTGACAGTCTGGAGGTCTGTTTCACACGTGTTTAGGGAGAAGTTTGCACCCATTGGGTACCACTACTGCTTCACTGGCTCTGCTCAGCATTGGCTGTGCTCATTGTCCCTGCTCTTTAGGAAGAATGATGCTCTCTACAGAACACTGTACTGTCCCAGAATATGTCCCAGTATGTCACCTGGTGCCATATTCTATTCAGACTTCACCAAACTGCTGGAGCTACAGTGTGTTCCACATAGAAAAAGAGAGAATCTTCCCCTCACTAACTCTGTGCCCCACCTGTCCTGGGCCCCGAGCTAGAACTGCCTGGTACACAAGTAAATAGCTTCTTCAGATTATACCTATCATCCCTCCACCTTCCCCATTCACCTCATGCTGTCAGAGACTGCAGGAGAGCCTTATCATCCCCTCCATTTTTGCCAACTCTGCCCTCTCTCCCCCAGGTCGCCATGAACCAACTTTGTCCCTTCTCCTTCAGCCCAAACCAAAAGCCATTATGAGTATTCATTTAGGCAGATCTATGCCCTATGGGTCAGTGCCTCATCGTCCCAGTCTCTGTTTAGGCTGAGCCAGGTCCACAATGCTACCCATTCATGAAGTTGTTTGGTTTCAGTGAGCTCATGACCACAAGAGAACTGAGGGTCTGATGATCACTGGAGCCATCAGCCAGTGTAGATGACCAAGATGAGGACTAACTCTCCCTTAACCCATAAAGGCAGTCAGAGTAGCAAACAAAAGAACTGTTCTGGAGGAGCTTACTAATCAGCATGATTATTTGTCGAGTAAAGGAGAGCTCAAAAAGTAGAAGGTATTTGGCCTAGAAGTCACCTACACGTGTAGCTGAGAGGAAGGTGTTCATTTCTGTGGGTTTCAACACAACAAGAAGGTTTAGTCTCCGACCTTCAGTTCCTAGGGCTGGAGAAAGGTGGGGAGTCATGGAATCCAGATAGAGAGAAAGGCACACCATCCTCATCACTTGGAGTTCAGAGGAGACAGAGAGACAGAAAATATGGGCAGTGAGGTAGTTAGTTGTTCAAACAGTGCACCATGTTTTAATGGCCAGGATCCTTAGAGCTAGGTATCAGTAAGAAGACACTATTTTATTATCTTATTCCTTCTTGCGTTTTTACTTAAAACAGGACCTCCAGTCATTCATTCTGGAATCAAAGACCTCAAGGTCTTGAAAACGACCCAGTCTGGATTTGAAGGATTCATCAAGGACCAATTCACCACCCTCCCTGAGGTGAAGGACCGGTGTTTTGCCACCCAAGTATACTGCAAATGGCGCTATCACCAGTGCAGAGACATGCATTTTGATGCTATCTGGTATGAGCTTGTGTTAAGGCCTGGCACCACCTCTGCCCTCTTCCCAGGGGCCCCAAGGTCATAGACTCTTCTATCTGAAAGGGAAACTTAGAGGCCATCCAAGTCAACCTCCCCACTGTTCGGAGTCCCTTCTGTTGGATAGCAGAAAGACAATGCTCTTGATTTAAATTAGTAAATCTGCACTGAAATCCTAGATGCTATTAGCTAAAATGACCTTGAATGGATCACCTAATTTCCCTGACCCTCTGTTTTTCAATTGATTACATCAGTTCTCAAACATTATTGTGTATCAGAATCACCTGGAGGGCTTGTTAGAATGCAGATTACTGGGTCCACCTCCAGAGGCTCTGATTCTGTAGGTCTGGGGTGAGGCCTGAGAACTTACATTTCTAGTAAGCTCCCAGCTGATGCTGATGCTCCTGGCCCAGGAGCCACACTTTAAGAATCACTGTATCAAGCAAGGCTAATGATATTTGGCTTTACTACCTCATAGTAGATGCAGAGAGGGCTACATGAGGATGACCAGCTCACCCCAGTTTGCCAAGGACTTTTCTGATTTTGATACTTAAAAGTCCCATGTCCCAGGAAACCCCTTGGTCATAGGTAAACTGGGACAGTTGGTCACTGTAGGCTAAACTCAAAATGAGACGATATTCACAGAAGCAGTTTATAAATGATAAATGCCTTAACAATGTAAAGGTGTGATTATTATTATAATATCCTTGACAAGCAGTAATTAGGCCTCTGGACTCTGAGTTTGCTTTTTGACCAGGCATCTCATTCCTCTGCTGACGTTCTAATTGTTAGAAACGTTACTTTCTGATAAGCTGGAATCTGCCCCCTGGTAGCTTCCTCCTACTGGCGTAGTTTTGCTCTACTCCTTTTATTACATGATGGGTTTGAAAATGCTTACAGAGAACCTCACCTCAATCTTCTTTTTCCTTTTTTAAGTGTTCCCCATTGGCCGCAGGCTGATGTATTTCTGTTGGAAAGAGCACAAAATTGGACATGGCAGAATCAGGGTCTTAGTTGGGCCTCCCACTAAGGAGAGGGACTTAGTGTGGATCATTTACATTTTAAGATTGCTCATGTCTAGGATGCCTGGGTGGCTCAGTTGGTTAAGCAACTGCCTTCGGCTCCGGTCATGATCCTGGAGTCCCAGGATCGAGTCCCACATCGGGCTCCCTGCTCAGCAGGGAGTCTGCTTCTCCCTCTGACCTTCCCCCCTCTCATGTGCTCTCTCTCTCTCATTCTCTCTCTCTCTCAAATAAATAAATAAAATCTTTAAAAAAAAAAGATTGCTCATGTCTAAATTGGGAATAATGATAGTACCTGCCTCAGGTATATTGAGAGAATTCAATGAAGTAATCACATAAAATCCTTAACACGGAGCCTGGCACAGAATAAAACCCCTAAAAATATAATAATGCAGAGAAATGGCCAAGCTGAGCAGTAAGAGCACTAGCGTACTTAGAAGTCCTCTTCATGGGTTCTTCAAATGTGAGGAAGATTTACTCTGGAATGCCCAGTGGACCCTAGTTCCAGATGATGAAGATAGCCTAGTGACAATACTTTTGTTGAATAGGGTGTGTGTGTGTGTGTGTGTGTAGGGAAATCGAAGTGAGGTGTTTTCAGGAGGAAGGCATTGCAGGATATTAATCTCTTCTAAAACCAGCAATAAAATTGTTTTCTGGGGGGACAGAAGGTCACCACTTCCCCGCTTTATAGTGTATTCCTAAAAGACCACTCTACGAGTCCTCAGGTCTCTTTTCTGTGTTTTAGGGATACTGTTCGGGACATTGTCCTGGAGAAATTTGCTGGACCCTATGACAAAGGAGAGTACTCACCCTCTGTCCAGAAGACCCTCTATGACATCCAGGTGCACTCTTTGAGCCGGGTTCCTGAGGTATGTTTTGTCACTTGCTATCTTGAAGACTAAGAGAACTTGTTGTGTCTCCCGTCAGCTCTGACAAAGAGTTGAGAGTTAAAATAAGACAGTGGAAGACACATGAAAAATGACATCTGTTGTTGTTCAAAAGCTTGTTATAGCAAGTGAGAAGAGAGCAAAAAATGGAAAAATCTGTCCAACCTGAAAACACAGGCCACTGCTATAGTTCTTTAGGCTTGTTGAAAATTCTGTGGGTCTTTTCAACCTGCCACAATTTAAGCCTCATATCAGGACACTGAAATGCCCTGATTGAGGAATAATTAGGCCAAGGGTCTATGTTTCAGGGTAGCCAGGGAATGAAAGATAGATGCAGACAGATTCCATCCATCCATCCATCCGATGTTATTGGATGGTTATTATATCTCGGTTAACACATGAAGAATACAAAGACAAATTAGACAGGGTGCCTACCCTCAAAGAGTCCATCATTGAATAAAAGAAAAAAAATAAGTAAATTAATGATGCAGTAGAGCATAGACTATTATGGAAATACAGGGAAAGGCATCTAACTCAGGTATGGGGCATAGGACCAGCCAGGCTTTCTGAGGGAGAGGTGTTTGGGTTGAGTCTTAAGGGACAAGTAGGGGTTTTCTGGGTTCACCCTCAAGGGTGAGGGAGCGTGGTAGGTATAGAGAGAAGGAGGCATCATAGAACGGTCATTTGCTGTTGAGGATTGCCATATGTGAAGCTCCATGAGTGAAAGTCTTTCCATGTGCCTAGGGATGAGGCAGGAACCAGATCAGGAGGATCTTTGTGGGCTTGTTTATAGTCTGTACTTTAACTTGAAAGCTCTTGGGAGTCACGGAGAGGTTTAAGCAAGGTGTGGCTCTACTGGATTTGCACTCTAGAAAGATCACTCTAAAAAAGGGTGATAAATTAAAAGAACAATAGATTACAGACAAGGAGACCTGTTGGAGGCTTTTGGGAAGCAGAAATCTCGCAAGAAGGGCCTGAACTTAGTTCCATGATGGGCTGGAGAGGAAGTGTACCACCCTTAGACCTGGGCAAGAGGGATACCTGCCATGGCTCAGCACTTTCCAAGGCTTTCTCTGGCTGTACCTCTCTTCACTGGATGAAGAGTCAATGGGGCCAAAGCAACAAAACCTTCAGGGACCCACACATCCCTTTCTAGATCATTCTCTGAATCCTTGCAGTCCAGAATTAACTGCCCAAATAACCCTGAGACTACTTTCAGAAACTGTGCAAACCTCTTCCTCAGATCCATCCTCTGGAGGCAGATTATGCCTTCAGTGTATACACCCTTAGGCCTGAGAGTAGGTGAAGGGGCAGATGTTTGCAGGAGGTAAGGATGAGACTTGACATGTAAGCAAGGGTGTCCACCCATGTGAGTCCAAAAGAGAAGGTGGGATGGGCCAGGGGCTGGGGTCTGGCTCTTCACATACTACCACATCCTGGCATGGCATTGTAAGCAGTCAGAGAATTCTAAATGACATCCTGGCCTTCCAGGTTGTTATGAAGGTATATTTGTCAAGTTGGAAGGATAGAACATATTTCGCTTAAAAGTTTCTTGCTTGATTCATAACTTTATTTTTTAATTTTTTTATTCATATCTTTAAACATCTGGTATGTGGGCCTCCAATTATATCCTTACCCCAGGGCCTGCAAATGTTTGGGACAGGCCTAGAGAGGAGGAAATGGACTGAGGAAGAATTTAAGAGGTTGACTGGCCAGCACCAGGAGGCCAGTTGGATACCGAAGGTCTCATAGCTTTCTGACCCAAGGAACTCTTACTTTTCTGAGAACAGATTGTGTACTCGGAGGGGAAAAGGGTGGGTCCACCATCTAATAATAGGACTATAAGGAGACAACTGTGTCGAGGAGTAGAGGATCACCAGAGGGTGTCTCAGGGACAGAGGTAGAACTTGAGTAATGGGCTACTGGGCAGGTGGGTTGCAGGGGAGGAGTGATAGAGGGAGAGAGATTCAATTGCCCAATGTGATCCATATTACTTCGGATTCCAGATAGAAGACATGGAAATCAGCCTGCCCAACATGCACTACTTTAACATAGACATGTCCAAAATGGGACTGATCAACAAGGAAGAGGTAAGAGAACTTTAAAAATATTTAAAGCATATCCACCCTCCTGCCCCACACCCTTACTTGTCTTTATAAATTTGAGATGATAGTATCGCCAAGCAAAACTCTTCACAGTTGTTGCTTTTGAAGTATTTATAGTTGCCACTGATTAGAGTCCTCTTAGACTCTGGGCCTTTCGGTACCTGAGGCTGGAGTACGCTAAAAGTGGATGAGGGATTGTGGAGGAGGGTTGGAGGCTGCAGGGAGTAAAAGACAAGGCAAGCACAGAGTGTGCCAGAAGAGACAGCTCTGAGATCTACTTCTCTGAAAAGTGCCACCCAAGGTCACGGCTTCATTATTCTTCCATGATGAGGCGACGACAAGAAGAAAAAGATTCTATTTTCATTTTCCTTCATCGTCTTTAACTTTGGATTAAGTCGTCAATTTAAGTAGCATATAAACAGAAAATGTCAACAGAGAAATGAGAGTGTTCGTGTTTCCAATTGCAATTATAGAAAGTGAGATGAGGAAGTGTACTTTTTGAAAGGAAACCTTGTTTTGGAAAAAAACACTTACCTTGACTTGTTTTAAGCCATGACAGAAGGTTAAACAAAGTGGGAGTGTCTGACTCAATAGCCTGAAATAGTAGGGCCTTGGAGATTAGAACTGTCCTTCCCCTCGCGAACCACTTTCAGAATGGTAGCATTTCTCTATTTGATCCATCCTTCCATAGGCTTCTAGAATTTGAAAAACATCATCTTGATAGCTTGTTTTAGTGTGTAGGGGGAGGGACCATCTATCAACGTGGCTCTGCGGCCATAGAATTCTAGGCCTGCTGATCTAGGAGCCTTCTTCTTAGCCACAGTCCTCTGGCCAGTCACCTTGTTTCTGTTGTGCAAATTGTGTTCCTGGGCTGTGTGGGGTTCTGCACCACCACAGCTGCAGGTGGAGGCTGGGGAACAGCACTGGGAAACGAAGGTCATGCTTAGGTGCCTGGGATAGCTGCTAGAGAACTCTGAGTGGCAGAGGAGAGCAACCTTGATCCCAGGTACTGTTCACTCAGCTGAGCAGAGAGGCAACAATGTTTACTGCGGTGGAAGGAAAAGAAAGCATGGTGATACCAGAATACCATTAATTAGAGTATAAAGTCTTTTTTTTTTAAAGTTTTATTTATTTATTTGACAGAGAGAGACACAGCGAGAGAGGGAACACAAACAGGGGGAGTGGGAGAGGGAGAAGCAGGCTTCCCGCTGAGCAGGGAGCCTGATGTGGGGCTTGATCCCAGGATCCTGGGATCATGACCTGAGCCGGAAGGCAGACGCTTAATGACTGAGCCACTCATAAAGCCTTTTAAAGCAATTACCTTCTAAAGAGCAGGAGAGGGACCTGAAAGTAATCCTGGCCATGTCCACCAAAGGTAAAACAAAGGGGCCCCAAACAGAAAAGGGCCAAGTGTCATGACTCGGACAGTGCTTAGCCCAGGAAGCTAGCAGAGAAAGGAGGTCTCCTCAGGGCCCCCAAACACCTCTGGCTTGCACCGATCCCAGCTCAAAAACTTGTTGCCGGCTTGTCGGTTGTGTCTCTATACCCAAGAAGTCAGATTGGCAGCTTCCTCAGCTCCCACCTGAAGAACAGGTGGGGACCCCGAGGCAGGAAGGCCCAGTTCCTTCGGGCCAGGGCTCTGCATGAAGGCACCTGAGAGGCTGAACAAGTTGGCCCAGGTCTGTGTCTGCACTTTGGGGATGGCTGGAGCTGATCTTGGCTACAAAGAGAAGGCAACACACGAAAAGCAGGGAGTCAGGGCACACTGACAACTGCAGAGAAGTGACAAATGACAGGGTGGGAAGACAGAACCACTCTAAATTCACAGCTGTCTGGAGCCATTTAGTATTGGGCTAACAGCCCCGAGGACCTCACAGGTTCCTGAGGGCCTGGCGGTATTAGAGCATTGGACAATGACTGATGTTCAAAGTGAATCATCAAGCAAAAGTCAAATTAGGTTCGCCACATTCTATTGAGAAAGCAGGGGGATATATAATGCATTTGAGAAACATTCATATCCCAGTGATTAAAATTTTTCCAAAACTCTTTAATTTTTGGGACCATCAACTCATCTCTCAACTATTGCCAGAAAAATAAGGCATTCCCATACTTGAAATAACTGAATGACTGTAGGGCACATCCATTTTCCTGTTTAGTGAGTTGTTGTTTTTGTTGTTGACTTACTATTGATTCACAGAAAAAAGGAGAGGCCTATTTTAATGCCTCTGAAGCTGCCATGTGGTTTTTCTACAGGTCTTGCTACCATTGGACAATCCATATGGCAAAATTACTGGGACGGTCAAGAGGAAACTGGCTTCGAAGCTGTGACATTGTAGCCACCACCACCGGAAGTCTACTCTCAACTGAGGAATTCCTTCAGCCTCTTGTGATGCTGGAAATCATAGCATGTAGCCATGCAAATGTTCAAACTAGAGTGTTGATTTATAGCGTTAAGTTTCCTCCTGTAGGAAAGACTTCTTCTACTACTAGCTCAGCGAGGTGTTTTGTGATTAGTAATTATAACATGCGTGGCGGATACAGTTTACTTCACAAATGCTAAGCAGTATGAGAATAGTCATAAGTCAATATTGCCTTTTAGTTGTCTTGTGCCTTCCTATCTTAGAGAAGTTTTAGAATCAATGTATTAAGAAAATAATCATGAATTAATGGATATGCTCTATCAATTAATTTGTGCACAAATTTAAGAGTAAGCATTGTTTTCAACCTACTGATGCTAAAACTTTGCTCTGGGCAATTCAGGTAATGATGAAATCATATTCTGAAAGCTATCACCATTGTGACTTCAATTAGACTGAATATTTGAATTTCTAAGAATGCTCTAGTATATGAATCACTGGGAGCTTATTTCTATTCTAAATGTACTTTTGCAATCTTAATGTATTGGTTTTATGACTTTTACAACTCTTAGAGAATATTTAGTAGACACTGAAAAAAATATAACTTGTTTTTCTTTGAATAATGCATCACTTTGGCCAAAAGAGCACATTTAATAAATGCTAAGTCAATACACCAATCAATGAATATCCATAAAGAAAGAAGACGAGAGACTCTCTCTATAAAAATATCAGTGATGGGGCGCCTGGGTGTCTCAGTTGGTTGAGTTGCCAACTATTGGTTTCAGCTTGGGTCATGGTCTCAGGGTCCTGGGATCAAGTCCTGCATCGGGCTCCATGCTTGGGGAGTCTGCTTCAGTATTCTCTCTCTCCCTCTGCCCCTCCCCTTGTTTGCTTGTGCAAGAGGGCTCTCTCTCTCTCTCAAATAAATATATACATCTTTAAAAAAATATCAGTGATGATGATTTCTAGATGGTGGGATTAGGAGTGATTTTTTTTTTTTTTTTGGCCATGTGCTTTTCTGGATCTTCCAAATATGAAGAGTTACTACTTTTATAATCAGAGAAATAAATATAATTGATGATTTAAAGGTGTACACAGATTTGACTGATTATCTTTATATCAGTTGATTAATACTGCTATTGTATATAGATATATACCATAAAGCTTCATAAACTGTAATTTTAGAAGCCCATGATGAAAACCTGTCCACATGAACATTCTAGATAACCTTCCTCCATTTAAAAAATCTCCATTTATTAATTTTCTTAAATCTCCATTTTTTATAAATGGTTACATATGAGTGCTTAGTATTGTTTGATAACTCTGCTTCGTTCTCCCCCTTTTTTAGTACTATTCCTTAAGCTAGCATGCATAGTGTTTAATTTCACAAACTCACTTCACTCCTGGATCCACCTCTCACTAGCTATATGACAAGTGTCCTCATCTGTAAAATAGAGGTGAGAATAGAATCTCAGAGGTTTTTTGAGGACTAAATGGGTTAATGTCTGTACAGTGCTGTGGTCGTATTTATGCCCGACACATAGAAATTTCTATATGTGTTTGCTAAATGAAATAGCTTGCCTTCTTTTCACGTGTTATTAGACCCAAGTAGAAAATCGTCATTGGCCTTTGTGAGTGAGATGGGAGATGGGAGGTCTGAGCGCAGGGAGCCCTAGAAGATGCTGGAGGCCAGGCACAGGCTCGTGCCTGCTGGGAAAGAACATGAGATAAGAAGGAAGAAATAATTTGATAAGGAAAGTTTTGTGCCACATTGAATACTCAGGTTACAAAATGTACTTACAGCATGTCACTTGCATGGCCAAATAGCTGGTACATTTTATTCCTCTGCTGATTTGATGATCCAGTTTGAAGAGCAATTTAGAGTTTAATGTGATTTTTTTTTCTAAAAACAAACAAACAACGAGAACAAAAACTTAATCAGGCCCTTCTTGCTAGATATTCTCTTGGTCATGTAAGTTTTAGAAACACTGTAGTTGCTCCTGAGAAGAAATCCATATTAGAGCAGAATCCTTAGAAATTGGGGCCCATTTTATACACACGTGCATTTTTGTTTCTCCTGAGCTCTTAAAACATTTATTGTAAGGGACTGCACATGAGCTATTAGATGCTATGTCCCAGTGGTGTGGCAGGAAAGCCTGTCGTCTGTGAAATTTTCAAGGACCAGATTCCTATTTTGGGAAGGATGTTTTCTTGTGGTTAAAATCGTAAACTATGTGCTGAAAACCAGGCTGGGGGTTTCACCTGGTTTTGCCAGTGCCCGCAGAGGAGCGGACCAGCCTGAACTGGAAACACCTGTGAGCTCATTTGTATCAAAACACTTTGTAATTTCGTTAAAGAAGCCTACCTGGACTCTGTGCCAGTTTTTCTGGGAAGCAGACTTGCTCTCCAGCGCTCTCCCCTGCCTTCCCCCCAGGGATCCCCCAACCCACTCTCAAGTCAGGGGGGGAGTAATGCAGGTGACTCCAGTCCATTTGCTGCCTGGGAGGCAGTTTGCATGGCCTCAAGCTGTCATTTGGGGCTTGTGGTTTTGGCAGCCAGAATTCTAAGACTTGGTCTAAATTTCATCTCCCACTTTTCATAAACAGGCTCAGAAAATATGTTCCATTCTTTCTCCTTTTTAGAGTCTGACTTAAGTTCATACCTCTCCACTTTCAGTCACCTGTTTTTTCTCCCTTTGTTCCCAATATAATAGAAATCACTCTTTGGAAACAGTGTTTTTCTTGTTTGTTATTGAAACAGAATTTACCTTTTTCAACCACATGCAAGATTTAACTACAGAAATCTGAACTTCCCTCGAACCTCCTAGCCCTCTGTCCAGAAAGAGCATTTTTTTTCCCCTTCAGACTTGGGACTGACCAGACTTTGCCTTTTGTACTCTCTTTTGCAAAACCTTTGTAACTTCTGCTTCCTCGCCTGCATTTCAAGAGGAAACCAAGGCTTCTTTCTAAAGACGTGGATTTCAAGCCTTCTGACTCACTGGGTTCTTCCTGCTTCCAAATATTGGAAACTTATTCTCTTTGTATTTCTCATAGTCTTTGTTCTCATTTCTCTCAGAGCTCAGCTGCCTTTCGTTTTTCCATTTGCTCAGACTCTTTCTCAGGAATTCTTAAAGTTTTTGGATTCTATAGATATCCTATTGAGAAAGAATAGCTATGGACCGTCCTCTCAGCAAAACGCTCATTCACACCTCTACAGGTGCCTCAACATCCATCATGGAAGTGGTTTACTCTCAATCCTTAAAGTGTGAAGGATTCCATTGGAAATCTGCCACATAAGGAATACATTCAACCAAACTTGGAAGAGAGGCATACTGATTCCTTTATATGAGAAAGGGAAATAAGTGTGTTCAAAAACTAATGATGTACTGTACCTTGGCTAATTGAATTTAAATTAAAAAATTAAAAAAAAAAACAACTTCAATTGGGTTTTGCAGGCATACCCTGGAGAAACTGAAGGTTCAGTTCTATACCACTTTAATAAAACAAATTTTGCCAAATAGATGAATAAATAAACAAACAAGAGAGAAGGACCCCAGGTATATTAGTTTCTTGGGCTGCCATAACAAAGTAACACAAACTTGATGGTACATAACAACAGAAATGTATTCTTTCATTGTTCTGGAGGCCAGAAGCCCAAAGTCATGGTAGTTGGTAGGTTTGTGTCTGCTTTAAAAGTTTAGAGGAGATTTTGTCCTTGGTCTTACAGCTTCTGGTACTTTCTTTGGTGTCTTGGCTTGTCCCCCATGGTCACATTACCTCTTCTGTCTGTCTCCTCTGTGTCATTCTTATAAGGACACTTGTCATTGGATTTAGGGCCCACCCAAATAACCCAAGGTGATCTCTTTATCTCAAGATCCTTAATGGTATCTACAAAGACCTTCTTCCCACATAAGGTCACAATTACAGGTTCCAAATTAAGGCATGAACATAGGATTGGTGGGGGGCACCACTCAACCGACTCCCGTGAGTCAGGGGACAGTGAGCTTCTTGAGAGCAGCTCTTCTAGTGCATATTGGATCTTCAGCTACACATAGGCTACTGTTTCCTTCATACCTGGGGGATAGTCACATCCCTCTTTCAGCTTCATCAGCTGTCACATCGATGTCTATAAAAGGGTGAAGAGCATGGACTTTGGCTCTAGAATGTGCTCAGTTTCAGATTGGGCTTCTCCAATTTCTAGCTGTGTGACCTTGGGCAAGTAACCCTAAACTTTAGTTCTGTAATTTTGAAGTGAGTCTCATAATAGTAACTACCTTACAGAGGAACTGAGGATTAACTGAGATAATGCATGCATGAGTTAAAATGTTTTGGGTTGCAAGTGACAAAATACCTCAGAGTGTCTTCAACTAGAAGGACATCTTGTTTACTTAAGAAGTTTAGAGGTAAGCTGTCTCAGGATTGATCTGGCCACTCAGGGATGGCTTCATGTTCTCAGGCTCGTTTCCATCCTTGGCTCTGCCATGCTCACAGGCATTAATGTTTCCCCTGGGGTCATAAAATGGGTAGTAAACTCCTGTTACAGATAGCGTGTATCACCCAAATCTCCCTTGGCACCAAAGCACTCAGATGCCAGAAGTGTTGGCCTCTGCTTGCTTATCATTGGGTCCCTCTGCAGGAATTGCCCTGGGCTAAAGGAAGCTGCCTCACCCCAGTTTATACCCACCACCTGGGAGCCGCTCACATCCAGTGCTGGTTAGTGTAGGAGATACAAAGTCCCGACCCTCCTGCCTCATTTGGGACAACTCTGCGGGGACACTCCAGCCCCAGAGCTCCTAACTGACTGAGGTCTTTGTTGCAACGGCATCATAATCCAACTTCTCTCTCTGCCCAATCCTGCTTCCTTCGCTGCTCACAGGCATTGTTCCAGGAAGTGATCCTTAATAAAGCTGCATGAAAATCTCGGGGTCTCACTGTACATTTCTTAGGGAAGCCAACCTGTGGATCTAAGAGTGTTTTAGGAAGGAGGCTTTAAAATGGGGTTGTGGGAGCTGAACCACCCACTGTCCAGCTGGTGATGAGCTCCTGGAATGTTATAATTATGCGATGGT